CACGCTTCAGTTCTACAGTCCCTATTTTCTGGTACCAAAGACGGCGGACTCCACACAATCTTGGATCTAAGACCGCTGAATCGCGCGCTTTCGAAGCGCTCGTTCAAAATGATTATGCTGAGATAAATCCTCTCACACATCAGACCGAGAGATTGGTTTATCTCTGTGGATTTAAAGGATGCTTATTTTCACATTCAGGTAGCCCCTCGCCACAGGCGTTTCCTGAGATTTACATTCGAGGGGATAGTGTACCAATTCACGGTCCTACCCTTCGGTTTATCCCTGGCCCCTCATACGTTTACGAAATGCATGGATGCCGCTCTCTCTCCTCTGAAGCAGAGCGGAATGCGCAACCTGAACTATCTCGACGATTAGCTAGTCTTAGCCCAATCAGAGAGCGCGCTGCTCACCGATAAGCTCAGAATCCTTGCTCACCTTCAGAGCTTAGGGCTGACTGTGAATATGCAATTTCAAATGAACTCAATCAATATGCGAGCGTGTCTGTCATAGGAGCGCTCACAAAAACTGATCAGCTCTCTCGCAGCTTCAACGACTGCTGGGATGCACTGACCCCTTGGTGCAATGACTCTTTATCGCCGGGGTGTTTTTATTGGCCAAGTGATCAGGAGAAAGACTGCTACAACAGATGCATCGAGCACGGGCTGGGGAGCCGAATGCGACGACCAGCCTTCGGGACGCGGTCAGAAACGGAGAAGTTGTGGCACATAAACTGTTTGGAGCTCCGTGCTGTACACCTAGCGTTCGAGTGCTTTCTCCTGGACATTCTCCACCATCACGTTCTCATCAGGACGGACAGCATGACGGTAGCGTTTATAAATCACCAAGGGGGCGTGAGCTCGCGGCCGCTGCTGCGGCTGGCGAGAGACATTCTTCTGTGGGCAGATCGACACCTCCTCTACATCTGGGCAGTACATGTCCAGGCTAGGGCTCCTTCCACTAGACGTCTTTACACACATAAATGGAGAGTTTTCACAAATTGGTGCGAGTCGAAGACCCATTCAACTACACAATACCAATAATTCTTGCCTTCCTTCAAGAGCAAATAAAAAAGCCTATACAATCAGCGAGTTTGCATGCGCTCTCTCTCAAGACAGCGCTCCTGCTCACGCTAGCCTCTGTTAAACGAGTTGGGGACCTGCAGGCGCTGTCAGTTGATGACTCGTGTATTGAGTTCGGGCCAGGTGATTGCAGACTCAATTTAAAGCCTAGGAAGGTTTATGTGCCTAAAGTGCTTTTGACTCCATTTAAAGCACAGGTCATAACACTATCTGCTTTCCATTCCGAAACACTGGCCGGGTCAGAGCCGCTTAATACACTTTTGCTGTGCCCTGTACGTGCAGTGCGCATCTATACCGAGCGCGTAGACAGTTCAGGCTCTCGGACCATCTATTTGTATGCTTTGGAGAGCGCACAAAAGGCCTGCCAGTGTCCAAGCAAAGGTTGTCACACTGGATCGTCGATGCAATTGCTTTGGCTTATGGCTCTAAGGGTGTGAAATGTCCTATAGAGGTTCGGGGCCACTCAACCCGCGGACTTGCGTCCTCGTGGCCCTGGGCAAATGGCATATCTATTCAGGACATTTGCATGGCGGCAGGCTGGTCGTCACCCAGCACTGTCGCAAGGTTTTATAACCTAGATGTGTCGTCGCTTGCCTTACATGTGCTGTCAGTGCGAGCAGTGCATGCGCCTACTCAGCCTCAGTTATGATCTGAGCTGCTTGCCTCAGTGGTTTCGACTAGGTCGTAGATTAAACAAACTTCTACTAATCTATATGTGATGGCGCCGGAGACGCTGCTATTTCACATTCTCCGTTTCACCGGCATTAACGCCGCCCCTGGTGGGACGTGGCATCGTCTAGTTGCTGCACCCCCCTTGACTTTTACATGGTTTCGACTAGGTCCTGTAGACCTGCGCCGGAGACGCTGCTATTTCACATTCTCCGTTTCACCGGCGTTAACGCCGCCCCTGGTGGGACGTGGCATCGTCTAGTTGCTGCGCCCCCCTTGACTTTTACATGGTTTCGACTAGGTCCTGTAGACCTGAGCTGTTTAACAAGAGCGACAATATCATTGCCGCTCTCATTACGGTTCCGTATGTGAAACTTGGCATACTTAGTCGAGCCAGGATCATCACTGTGACAAGGTGGGATTTTATACATTCCCATAGCAATGTAGAGTGACCGAATCGAAAGGGAACGCTCTCGGTTACTCACATAACCTCGGTTCCCTGAGATGAGGGAACGAGACATTGCTCTTATTGCCGTGTCGCCTAGCTCAGGATCTTAGAATGCCAAGTTGCTTCAGTCAAGATTCTGAATAGATGACGTACAAGCGCTGCTTTATATAGAGTGGGAGCCCCTCATATTCCGCGCACTTGAACGCCATTGGCCAGTTTCACTGGCGTGATTCAATAAGGCTTCAGTAGTACTTGGAGGAAAGGGTAATTCCCATAGCAATGTCTCGTTCCCTCATCTCAGGGAACCGAGGTTACGCGAGTAAACGAGAGCGTTTCAGCACTGGTTAGTTCTCACCACAGTTTTAAAAAATGCTAAAACAGTGGGCGTGGTGCGCAGTGGAGCGGAGGAGGGGGAAGAGGGGAGACACACACAGCTTAGCGTTCTGACAGTTTCATTTCGCTCCCATCGAGTTAAAAACACAAATAAATGCACAGCCATTTGCACTCTGCATCGAAAACATATATATGAACGTGCTGTTGCACCTTATTCTGTGGCGTTTATATAAGCCTTTTGACGGGTTGTGTCACAGAGCTGTAAAAACGGTTATGCTCACCAAGTGAATGAATCGCATTTGTGCCGAACTCTTATTACAAAACAAAAACAAACACACTTCTTCGATGCATGTACGTTTCTCTCAGTTATTGTGCGCGATGTCATCTCACAGTCTGAAACATCTGTCATATCAAATCAACACATGCTGTCGTGAATAATTAAGCGAAGCGTCTTCTCATAGGATAAGAACACGCAGTCTCATGAATAATTTGATAGACACAGTCGCGTCATCGATGTACTATTAGTCCATTGCCACGTCACAAATTGTGACGTCAACACAATGTAGATTTTAAACCCGGAAGATGAAAATAGCGCAAAAAAGCTTAAATTTAACCAGTTTTCTCCAACAGTTAAAATTATCGGATGCTAACATTGTCTTCTATGATGTGCAACACAAAAACATCTCTGCTAAAATCTCAGAAAAAGTAGTCTGGGGTTTCATGACCCTTTAAGGCAAGTCATGTAACTCGGCGGCCATCTTTGAAACGCCTCTCAGGCATGCAAGTGCAGCTCCTATCTCTTTGAATGGGGAAACATCAAATTCTCCAAAACGATTCGCCAAGCTATTTTGCTTAGAAGGCAGGTTCAGCCATATTGAGTGTTGCATTTTTCCCAAGCGGCAACCTCCCGCTCGCTCTCGTGAAGCCAACACGAAAGTGACTTAAACTGTAATTCGTCAACTGGCCGCTAGAGGCTGGCTGCAAAAGGGAATCAATCCCATAGACTTCCCATGTTAAAATGCCCAACTTTACAGCAGAAAAAAACGTTTACAGCCTGGTTCAAAAAATTATTTTGGTCTATATAGCTAATTTTGCCCTTCAAGCGGAGGAGGGGGAAGAGGGGAGACACACACAGCTTAGCGTTCTGACAGTTTCATTTCGCTCCCATCGAGTTAAAAACACAAATAAATGCACAGCCATTTGCACTCTGCATCGAAAACATATATATGAACGTGCTGTTGCACCTTATTCTGTGGCGTTTATATAAGCCTTTTGACGGGTTGTGTCACAGAGCTGTAAAAACGGTTATGCTCACCAAGTGAATGAATCGCATTTGTGCCGAACTCTTATTACAAAACAAAAACAAACACACTTCTTCGATGCATGTACGTTTCTCTCAGTTATTGTGCGCGATGTCATCTCACAGTCTGAAACATCTGTCATATCAAATCAACACATGCTGTCGTGAATAATTAAGCGAAGCGTCTTCTCATAGGATAAGAACACGCAGTCTCATGAATAATTTGATAGACACAGTCGCGTCATCGATGTACTATTAGTCCATTGCCACGTCACAAATTGTGACGTCAACACAATGTAGATTTTAAACCCGGAAGATGAAAATAGCGCAAAAAAGCTTAAATTTAACCAGTTTTCTCCAACAGTTAAAATTATCGGATGCTAACATTGTCTTCTATGATGTGCAACACAAAAACATCTCTGCTAAAATCTCAGAAAAAGTAGTCTGGGGTTTCATGACCCTTTAAGGCAAGTCATGTAACTCGGCGGCCATCTTTGAAACGCCTCTCAGGCATGCAAGTGCAGCTCCTATCTCTTTGAATGGGGAAACATCAAATTCTCCAAAACGATTCGCCAAGCTATTTTGCTTAGAAGGCAGGTTCAGCCATATTGAGTGTTGCATTTTTCCCAAGCGGCAACCTCCCGCTCGCTCTCGTGAAGCCAACACGAAAGTGACTTAAACTGTAATCCGTCAACTGGCCGCTAGAGGCTGGCTGCAAAAGGGAATCAATCCCATAGACTTCCCATGTTAAAATGCCCAACTTTACAGCAGAAAAAAACGTTTACAGCCTGGTTCAAAAAATTATTTTGGTCTATATAGCTAATTTTGCCCTTCACGACAACTGTGAGGGGGATGAATTTTTTTATAACTCATCCGTTTAAATTATATCAAGCCTTAAAGTTTTGCATAATTAAGGGCGTGGCCACTTGAGTGACAGGTGGATTGCCACTGCGGTCACCACCGTCGAGCTAGGTGGGCATGGTTTCAGCAACCAGCTCCCGCCTCTTTGCCCATTTTCGATTATCCGGGAGTGACACGCTGCCAAGATGGCGACGGCCGGCTCCGCCCACTTTGAGCTTCAAAAACGCTCTTCAGAAACCTACGGGTGACGTCACGGACACTACGTCCATGTTTGTATACAGTCTATGATTTTTCCCCATTCAAAACTATAAGAGTGACACGTCTTGGGTCTTGCAGTTATCCTACGCATACAGAACACTAATATGACATGGGGAAAAAATAAACATCAGCCTGGCATTTTAATGCAGGATAGCACATAACAACAAGGTTATTTTACACATTCTCACAGGAAATCTCATGAAAACATAACTGCATAACGATGAGACCATTTTTGGTTGAAGCAAAACAATAGAATGTTGAATGGAATGTCAGTGAGTCTCATTTATAATATTGGTTATTTAAACATATTACATTTTTTTTCTATTTTTGAGAAAATAAACAACAACAAAAACCCTTTGTCACCGTTCTATAACATGTGGGGAGCATTAGTTATCCCTGAGTTACGTCTAAGAATGATCTATTTGATTTAATCCCAACCTGCGAAATGCATAGTGGATCCAAATTATACAGAAAGCAATGCGTTTTTAATAAAATATAATATTTAAAGATGTTGCATTTATAATGCAAGGCTGGTATTATGAGAAGAAAAAAAAACGTTTTCATCTTGGACAGGGCTTTCTGACCAGGTTCACTACCTTTGTGCTTCACTTTTTGCATTTCTAAGGCTAATTTCTGACACTTCCATGGAATATAATTTACGTATCATGTGAACTTTAGGCATCAAATGTTAATATTCAGCTTAGGTCACATTTATGGTAAAATACATTTCAAACTCAAGGTAGTGTTTGCTTTTTTTAAACAGACATTTCATTTTTAAAGCTTGCTCATGTGTCTTAATATAGCCCTCACCGCCAAAAATATTTCTTTTGTCAGTATTTTTGTCGTGTTTTCTAGTAAAAACTAGAAGCCAAATTGAACAAGAATAGTTAAAAATAAATCCTTTCAAGATATATTCCCTAATAATATAACAAAAGTACTATATTAAAACTTCTGAATTTCTGAATTTCACTAGTGAAAATTCACCGAAGAGCAAATGTGATCGCACTTCCATAACTTACTATAACCACACTTTACATCCAAAATAGATTTACATACAGAAAATATATTATCCTTTAGCAGGAGAAAATAGCATTTTGATTTAGTTTTACATAGATTTTTGGGGAAAAAATAAAATAAAATCTTCCTTAAAAATGATTATTTCTGAAGGTCCATATCCTTACTGCTCTCTACATTGGTTTACATCTGTAAACCCGCAAAACACTGAGGAAAGAAGAAAGAGGGCAGTGTCACTTGGCCCAGGTGTTGCTCTCAATTCTGTCAGTAATGGCTGCTGCTGGGTTTTCATCCTTATCGTGAAGGTTATTGTTGTTGTTATTGTTGTTGCTGTACGTGAACTGGATCTCATGCCTGTTATTCTGGATGGCTGATGTCTCCTGAAGTCGGAGTTCATCCAGCTTCCTCCACAGTTCCTCACGTTCCTGCTCTTTCTTCTTCTCTCTGAAGACAGAAGTGATGGCAATCATGAGCAGTGTCATTTTAAACTAAATGAGAAGAGTAAAGACGTGATCTTACCGCTGTCTGTCACATTTGTATGAAGCCGTCAGTTCATCAAACAGTTTGCTGTTCATCTCCATCAGTGTTTTTAATACATTGTACACCAGGGCCACGATCGTCCTGAGACAATTAAAAGACACTTACTGCATGTCATTTCTTCAATGGGTTTAATTTTTTTTTTTATTGTTTCAACCATTCACCAAACTGCATTTAAAGAGCAACTAGTACATTCATTAAAATTTCTATTTTTCTGTTTGACAGAAAAAGTCAGTCAGTATGGGTTTGGAATGAAGGTAATGAATGATTCCTTTAATAAAATGTGGCAATGATCAAATGAAAAATCCACAACATACGGGTTCCAGTGTTCTTTGGAGATCCGGTATAAGTTTCCAAACATGATGGGAAGGATTTTGGCATTATTCTCCTCGATTAGACTCAAAATGTATTCATTGTTCCAGTAGTACAGTGCTCGTTCTGCTACCTGCAAATATCAGAGAGAATGAAACGTACACTACCGTTTAAAAGTTTGGCATCAGCTTTGGAAATTAACACTTTTATTCAGCAAAGACACATTTAAAGTGCCCCTATTATGGGTAATGAAAGGTTCATATTTCGGTTTTGGGAGTCCCCAACAACAGGTTGATATGCATGCAATGTCAAAAAACACTCTTATAATATGCATTTATTTTTATCTTACTTGCTCAACGACTCCCAAACGATTAGCTCAACGATTAATTTTTCCAAACCCCTCCTTTGCGTGACTCTAATCTGCGGTGATTGGTCCGATTGGTCTCATTTTAATTTCATCAAGAGCCTGTAATGCCTGATAAAGCAGCGTTTGTGAGCGCAGTGCTGCTTTGTGTACAAAGGAAACAGCTATTTTACCGCTCCAAAAGAGGCATCTAGTGGCAAAGAATGAATTTGCATTTTCATTCAGACCAACGTGAAAAGACCAACAAGTGGGCGGGCAATATGCTAATGTTTCATGTTGACCTCAACATGATGAAACGGCTTGGGATTCGTTTTAAAAATGACTCGTTTCAATGATTCAGAGTCGACTCTTTCTTTTGAGAGACAATAACTTTATACACGGTGGACTTTCAGATTTAAAACTTTGTATGATGTTTTCAATCACGCAGAGCTGTGTTACACACTGCATGAAAGGAAATTTTCGAAAATCATGATAGGGGCACTTTAATTTATTAAAAGTCACAGTAAAAGTAACATTTATAATGTTACAAATGATTTCTATTTCAAATAAATGCTGTACTTTGAACTTTCCTTTCAAAGAATCCTGTAAATATTAAGCAGCACAATTGTTTTCAACATTTTATTTTATTTAGCAATTATCTATTTATTTATGAAATCTGCTGTATGTGGCATGGATTTGATTCCATAGTAAAACTGCATTTGTAATCAGCTGCTGTTTCCCTACAAGCTGTGATTAAAGCGGACAGACTCTGATCACATACTAACACTACACTCTACCTGAAAATGAGGGCTGGATACACATTTAGAGATTTGCTTAAATAAAGGCTCCTGAATCTTCTTGAACTGCGTAGGTTCGATCACGTCCAGGATCTCTTCAATTTCCCCTAGAAACATGACCTAACAGAGCAGAGACAGAACACAGAAACTCATCAGACACTTCAGTCTGCAAATAAAGTAGTAAAAAGTAGAAAAAAGAGAACAGCCGTTATATTGCCACTCATAATGCACTCATTACTTTTTGTAATGACTGGCCCATAAATGATCAGTTTACCTCTTTCTGACTACACGTCTTAGGCCAAAATTTAAGAAGGCCACGAACCACCTAAGAGGAAACAGAAAAGATACATTTTTGATAAATTATGCAATTCTAATGACCTTGAAAAATATATCCTAGAATTATCACAGAATATTTTGTCTACTTTAAGTACTTGACAGATAAACCACGCTGGTGCAGGTGCTGTGCTATTTTTATTGCGTCAGATGGACATCTCATCAAGTCCAGCTGTGCCCTTTCCTCTGCTATTTACTTTCACTCTCCAAACCCAGAAATATGAAATATCATTCATCGTACCATATAATTTATAGCTCTGCCTCCAACACCATCGCCCTCTAACTGGGGGGATACATGCCTGTGTGAATCCATGAGTTAATTCCTGCTCACGGGCGAACAGCAGTGGTAATGAGCTCACGGTGAACTCTGGGCTTCCCTGCGCTTGGCAGCACGTCCTCAGAATGAAGTCCCTGTTCACACATGACTGTGCAACCAAACCCAGCAGCCGCCGTATTATCAGAAATACACAGATGGCCAGCGAAAGCGGCTTGAAAACCCAACACCAAGCCAAACCTCCAGAAGCCCCTCTGCATCTTCACACTCTGATGTCTGAGGAAGTGTGGCATGAGTACCTGCTCTCATGGTGCCACAGCCTAGTGCTTTAATATCTGGTATAGTTTATAAGTTCATAAATTGCTGCTGGAGGGGTTTAACATTCACCATTGTGGCCTTGACAAAGGCACTTAACTTGAAGTTACTCCAGAGGAATTTTCTCTGTAATAAGTGCACTGGAAGTCAAATTAGAACACATACTGTATTTACAAATACATATGTGACCCTGTACCACAAAACCAGTCATAAGGGTCTTTTTTTATTGAGATTTATAATAAATAAACTTTCCAGTGATGTATGGTTTGTTAGGATAGGACTATATTTGGCCCGAGATACAACTATTTGAAAATATGGAATCTGAGGGTGCAAAAAAAATCTAAACATTGAGGAAAATCGCCTTTAAAGTTGTCCAAATAAAGTTCTTAGCAATGCATATTACTAATCACAAATTAAGTTTTAAAACATTTAGGGTAGTACATTTACAAAATATCTACACGGAACATGATTTTTACTTAATATCCTAATGATTTTTGCCAGAAATGAAAAATCGATAATTTTGACCATACTGTTGGTCTGACCTATTGTTGGCTATTGCTACAAATATACTTGTGGCACTTATGACTGGTTTTGTGGCCCAGGGTCACATATACAGTATATACACATGTGCCTGTCTGATATTTGAACTGCATTCTCAGAAATAAAGGTACAAAAGCTGTCACTAGGGCAGTACATTTTCAAAAGGTACACTGTTGTACCTATTAATTCTAATATATACACTTTATGTACTAATATGTACCTATAAGGTACCAAAATGGACTTGTGGACAAACATGTACCTTTTGAAAAGAGACCGATTTTGTACCTTTATTTCTGAGAGTGTGACTGTTAAACAGTTAAACTGACCGATAAAGAGTACACACATTTTTATGCATTCTACAAATGCACACTTCACAGGACCTCAAAGTTTGCTTTTTGTAGTTATGTGAGCTGGACCAGCTAAACCTTGACCTTCTGGGTAAAACCCTACCAGCCATCAGGACCATTAACAACTATTCTGGACAAGACTATACAGTATATTTGTTCTACCAAAATCATGTGGTGGAACTTTTAATAAGGCATTCTTTTTTGCAATTCTGTTAAAGGCACTTGTCTGCAGAAAGTACACATTTCAACTACTACTACTAACAGAAATTCATGTAATTGTATTTAAATATAATTAAAATAATTCCATTTCCCAAAACCAATTCTAACTTTCAGAGTGTAGCTGTAAAAATAAAAGTGTGTTGGTGGCTCAAATAGACTGAAATGGGATGGTGTGAGGGTGAGGTGAGGTGAGCAGTACCACTTCAGTGAGGGTCGGGTCCTTTTCTATGAACTGAACCACACAGTAGGCCAGCTGAAACACAACCAGGTGAAGAGTGGATGTGAACAGTAGATACTAAACAAGAGATGGTTTGTGCAAACATAATCAACCTACAAAAATGTTTTCTTACCATGCTTATGAATAGGAAAAAAGATTAATTTATTATCACCAGATGAATTTCTCTGCCTATAACATTTTTCATGACTGTAAAACTGTAAGATGTGCAAAAAACTAAATACAGTTGCAGAGGGAGAAATGTGATGTGGATTTTACCTTGAATGTCCTTAAAAAAAAAAAATCCACAAAAAGTGTGGATTGCTTTACGGCAGCAACAAATGCACATGTACAGATATATACTGTACCAGAGTGGCATATTTACTACAGTGAATTCCACTCACTTAAGTAAAAAAAAAAGATATGTATGTATATATATATATATATATATATATATATATATATATTGCAGCTTTTTAGATCAACTCACAAACCCTGACACATTAAAATCCATCACTGTTTGGGTTTTATTTGTTTCAGCAAAAGCAGGGCCAGGCTGCAGATTTTGCTGAAAATTGCGTAGACTATGATGGAAACAAAGTTTGATTGTTTAGCTTTACATTATGATTCCATTGAGTCAGAGGATATAAAACATGCTTGATATTTTGAGCCAATTTTAAAACACGTATTGCTTTCATTTGTCAAGCGTGAGTTTGTTGTGTTCAGTGTGCGATGCCTAATGTTTAAAATCTGTTCAGATTTTAAAAGTCATTGGTCTTTTATGAACAATTTCTGGTCAATTCAAAGGGTTCACATACATTTTTCCTGCAACTGTATCAGAAAGAACACATATGATAAATGGAAAGTTAACATATGTGTTTTTGTTAAGTATCATATTTGACACATCTGTCATTCAGAAAACTGCACAGAATAACAAAAATATGAAATTTGGTGCAGTTGCTGATATTCATATAGTCAGAAAAAAATGAAAGTTTGATAACTCTTTAATAACAGCATGGCAGACTACTTACATAAAATGCATATACATATCCATATCTCCTAATAATAGCCGAATGCAGTGCAATACAAAGATGACTGAGAGATGTACAAATAAACCTTCCTCAAAAGCCTGATGTATCATATTTAATACTATATATTATTTTCCCCTTTTTAAATGATGTATGGATACATCATCATACTTCAGAAAGTTTTAGATCTTGAAATATTACTATCAATACAGAAGTTATTCTTAGGTTTACTTTTTAAAAATCAGTAGGGATTTCACAGCAAAAAGACCAATGAAGGTGGACAGTTTAACTATTATACTAAAGGCCTTTAACTTACTAAAAAAGTATAAACTATCATTCAGATGACAGAAGGCACTTGGTTATAGCAGATTGTTTTAGCAGATAGGTATTTCAGCGTTGATCTTTTAAAAACTAGCGCATCAGATATGATAGAGCAGGCTTTACGGGTTACCTGTGCGTGGAACAGTGCGAGTCCTTTGGCAGTGTGCATGGGAATGAGGATCTTCATGAGGAACTGCTTGTGTTCAGCCTTCAGCGGCAGAGCAAAGCCATTGATGATGCTGTGATTATAAAGACAGCAACACAACTGATGACTGTTTTAACATTAGGTGACTACAGCCAGCCAACACCAACACCAGCTGCCAAATAATCTTTTACCCAGCATGCATTCTGACGCTACGCTTTCAAAAGCACTAACTCCATTAAATGATCTCTGTGAACAGAACATGAAAGAAAAGACTCACCTGCCCAGAATCTCAAGGAGTTCAGCAACTCCATTAAAGTGCTCAGTTTCATAGATGTATCTGGGAAAATTATATGAATGGTTTACATTCCACATAAAATATAATGATACAATACAAACATAATATAATTACAATATATAAACTTAAGTTTTTTTTTTTAACTAAATGCACAATCCACATTCCAAAAGTTCTCTGTACATTATTCGAAATTCATAAGACAGTCAGAAATATATATAATATATATA